GGGGGGTGCGGCGGTTGGCGTGGAACTTTTGGCTATGCAGGTAGTTTAGACGGCCTTCGATGAATCCGGATTCGACATTCTAGCACCTAATAGCCTAGGCCTTAGAAAGTGTTGGAGGAAGGCGATAATCACTGATGCAGAACGGTGAGCAAGGAGCCGAGGAGAACCGCAGGGATCGCGACGGGTGCGAGATAAGGTTTTGGCTCCCTTACCTAAGCGACATACCCAAGGAAACAGGCAGGTCTGGGGCGTAATCACGTGATATGCAAAAATGGCGCCTCTACAAGAAATCCGTACGAATTGGTACAGATAGATCCCACCTCCTCGTACATAAATGAACAGGGAAAAGCGATATAACAAATGAGTGACTACGCTTTCTTAGTTAGTTGCAAACACCCTGGCGCCCTGATTACCCAAGCAAGCCTCGATAAACGCAGTGTGCGTTGAGCAAACTGAACAAGTTAGCAACACGAAAGCAAGGTACGAAATCTACATACAAACCTTGACATCTTGTTAAAAAGATAACCTCGCGAGCATCTTGACTCTCCTAGGTACGTACATGTACAGTAGCATATCGTACTGCACATTCCCCTACTGCTACAGACTACAGACCACAGTAACGACCGTCTCTCCTTGGAAATATTGGCAGGCAGATCATTCTTGAAACAGCTCTTCCAAGTGTCCGGGTCGACCTGCCTTCTTCGCCTCGCCCCTGTTCTCACGGTGACCGGGGCTCGGGTTTCAGGATGAATTGCTTGCATCAGATTCGATAGTCAATCGTCAATCAGATGCCTCCGCCAACAAACACGAGACCGCAGGATGCGTGCCAGTCTCACCGGGGGTTGGGGCTTCGAGCCTTCGTCATCCGAACTGTGCCAATCATCGCATGATCGCCAGCGGGCTGGCTGAAGGTTCTGAGCGCCTGCGATGGAGGGAGGGATGAGAAGAGGAGGAGGGCGTGTCTCCTTGTCGCCTCCCCTGAGAAATCATCACGGAGAGTACCAGTATAGACGACGACGGTACGTGTAGAGAGAGGTACGGAGTATTCGATACCAGAAAGAGGATGCCTCGGTCACGTCCAGACCCCCGACCCGCCTGAAGAAAGCAGCCAATGCAGAAACCCAAGAACCGGACTCGACTCCATGTAGACGTTGAGGTAGCACAGTAGCACCACCTATCTTGGGAACTGGACATAATATTCGCGCTCATCGAACCTTCGCATAAACCACCAACGTCCCGCATGGTATGGCATGGCAAAGGACGACGTGGGCGTGCGGCGACGGCGATGACGAGGAGACTCCGCCTTGTGATGGTATCAATTGCAGTGGTTAGCCCTTGGAATGAAGATGATATATTGTCCTGATCTTGATATTGATATGGATGGTGCTTGGATATACATAGGTATTTTATGTTCTGTTCTGTTCAAAGGATGGATGCGTGTGGCGTAAAGTCTGGGGATACTGTAAGACTGAAACTGAGACTGAGGCTGAGGCTGAGGCTGGATGTCTATTTGCAGCCCAAGCACTGCGTACAGCAAGAGATACGGTTGCAGATGTAGAAATGAAGCCGAATGATGTACTCTACTGTACTATACTGGACCCTATTTACTTGCTGTACTGTACTCGAGTACTCCGTACAGCACATAGTATTTATTTTGAGATACCGCGGTGGCCCCCTGACGACTGGACTCAGGGCGTCCGGAGTATTATTATATTACCTGCATACTAGTACCGTACCTCAGTACGTACTGCGTACCTAGGTACTCTATACCTCGTAACTATGGCAGTGGCAGTCAGCGACAGTGACAGTGGCAGTGATTTGTGATTGATTCAGGGAGAAAAGGGGGCCGCCAGCATGAAACACCCGCCAAGCCCCCCCCCCCCCGACACTCGCTATTTGCACGCTGATTTGTTCTTCGAACTCTTGCTGCGTCCAGTGCTTCAGTAATTATTATTGCTGTACGACCATGTACCTACGAAGTAATAATTAGCTACGTACAGGTAGTTTACTACCTAGTTAACCCTCTGGCAGTACGGCACCTCTCTCCGTACTTTCTAGGCCGATGTAGATACTCCTTACTCCTTACTCCCTTCTACTACTGCCCTGCCCTGCCCTGCCCTACACTCCCCCTTACAGAGAGAGAGTACTGAGTACAAACTGCTACGGAGTACGCTATATAAGGTATGCGTATAACCACTACGAGCACTTCGTAGGTACCTTACCTCGCCCTTACCCCTTACTCCGTGCGCTACAAGCCTACACAGAGAGTACTCGTACCAAAACAACAACATTACCTTATTAGCTACTAGGTACGCTACGTAGTACCAGGCTACATACCAGGCTCGGCCTACGAGCACGAGTACTCAGGTGCAGTGCATGTACCTACTGGTACTTCGACTGCTTCGACTACTCGTACTTACTCCGTCCCAGCCACGGCTACTCCCACGCCCCCCCGCCTCCGTATCATCCACCACCGCATCGCACACATCGCCTTCTTCTCACTACTGCACCAGCACCAGCATCAACAACATCGCATCCTCCGTCTCCCTCTCCCTCTTTTCCTTCTATCCACCTTCACCTTCACCTTCATCTTCATCTTCACCATCCCCAACCATCATCCCCTTCCCCCCCCCCGGCCCGCCATCTACCTCCGGCTTCCAGTTCCTCTTTTTTCTGTATTAATGAGGCTTCGTACATTGATCGTCCAGATCTACCCTTCAAGCGGTTTCTCCGTTTCTGCTTCCCTCCCAAAATTCCTTCCGACAGCTTAATCGGCCACGCCCACCCTCTCCCCCAGAGATCCCTATCGAATCGACATATCATATCGTCGGCCTTCCCTCCTCCCTGGAGATCTCGCCGCGGCACTCGACCTGTCATCGTCTTGACCTCTGCGAGTGTCACGCTTCGTTTTTAATACAGTACCACATCATATAGATCTCTCGTCATCAGACACCGTTTCGCGATCAATCCTCCCATCCCACGATCCTTCCAGGGCAACCCAACTGCTGTTTCAACTGTTAAGCTTCGCCATCCGCGAATCGACGCTTTCTTCGATAGTTCCCCGCGAATCTCGAGTCCCAGTTCAAATCAACTTGTGGTTCTACATCCCCCGTCGCACACAGCTACCTTTCGCTTGAACAATCGCGATACCAAAGGGGATCTGACAGAACTCGGCTCGACGACAATTCACTACTCTTTTTGAGATTGCCATATCCTCCTGCCATCTCTCGTGCCAGCTACGAGGGTCGTATATTTTGGTGGGCTGACCAATAATCTATAATGTCATCTGCAAGATCTGAACATCTCAATCTGGGCTATCTCCCACAGCCGTCATCCACCAGTCTGCCGCGTTCCGGCTCCTCCACGGCCAACACATCCCCCACCGAAGCCTCTAGTGGAAGCGCTCTACGGTCTCCTTTCGGCATACCAGGTGGTTTGAATTCCGCTGGAAAGATGGCCGGAAACACGCGATCGGGGGCTGGTTCTCCATCGCACGACCTAGGGAGTGCAAGCAGACTGTTCTCGAAGAGGTACGTTCCATTGCTGTTTCCATGGGCATCTTTCTTACTTCAGGATTAACATATTCCACAGCAGGGCGCGAGAAATACAGGCCCAAGAAGGGGTCCCGGTCAATGTTTGGGGACCTCCAACCAGCGGCAATTCGACTCCCCTACGAGAAAATATCCCGGAGTCTCCCACAGACGGCTTCCCTGATTTCACACATCTCCCGACTCCAGACAGCCTCCCGCAGGTTCAGACCAGACGCGCACGAGCAGGCACGGTCCCATCCCGATTCTCCCCTGGCGGAGTAACTACCAGTGGGCTGGGAGGACTGCCATCTCTGGTAGCTAAAACATCCCGCCCAAGTCCCTCACCAAGCCCCTTCAAGTCGCCCTCGCCCAATCTGGGTGATATTTCAGACCATAGTACAGCAAGCAATGCAGCACTCTTATCTCGATTGCGAGCTGGCTCCATGCCCCAACGACCCCAGTACTCAAACTCCACCTCGCCCTTCGGCCCCTCCGTTTTCTCTTCGAATTGGGCCTCGGGCCGTGAACGAACATCAACCCTCGCGAGCATCGCCAGCCAGCCGTCGAATGGTCCAAGCTCTCCAGCCCAGTCGTCATTTTCTCGCGAGGGCGCGGGTGACAATGAGATGAGAACACTCGATTACCTTGGTTTGGCGGATACACCCCAACCACCTCGCGCACAGTTGGCAAATCCGTTCCTCGCAAATATTGCGGACCTCAACAAGCACGCAAACAGATTCCGCTCATATTCCGTCAATGCGAAAGAGAAATATGAGGAGGAAGAGGACGACGATGATTATGGAAGTGGCGGCTTGACGCCCTACGAGACACAACAGGCCCAGCTGCACATGCAGCTCGCCGCGACAAACGCAGCAATTCAGCAGCACAATCTCGCCGTCCAAGCTTTTGCCAATCAGGCATCCTCAAACAGACCGAGAGCGAGGACTGCAGGGGTTTTGGAGTCTCCCGCTTCCAGACTGTTGCGAAACTATTATCCTACCGCTTCCCGACTGGACAACAGCATCAACGCCTCAGATATACACATGCCAGAGTCCCAGGAGTATGAAGGGCTTCCAGAAGCTGTTGCTGCTATGACACTGGGTCGATCAAACAGTCGTAATGACGGCCACCTGAACCCCGACGATAACCTAGAAGGCCCCACAAGGGCTTTGTGGCTTGGAAGCATCCCATCATCGACGACCGTGTCGACTCTGATGGAGATGTTCAAGTCTCACGGGCCCATCATCTCCGCACGCGTGCTGACCCACAAGAACTGCGGTTTCGTCAACTTTGAACGGTTGGAGAGTGCTATTTCCGCAAAAGCCCTCATGAACGGGAAGGAGATCTTCCCCGGAGCAGGGCCTGTCCGGATCAACTTCGCCAAGCCTCCTTCCCCGTCAGGTACACCAGGTCATGATGGAGCGTTCCCCTCCCCCAGCCCAGATCCGTTTATGATGGGCGAAAATGCCGCTGGTGGCGATGGCAACGGGGCCACACCCGGCGTCATTTCTCGCCCAGGAACAGCCTCATTGAGCATGCCCGCCCTGCGAGACATGAAGACGGATATTCTCCGCATCGTAGGAGAGTTTGGGGCATCGTCAGATGATAAGACCAAGATCACTCACAGTCTTGACCAGGCCATCAAGTACGACAGGTTCGAAGCCGAGATCCCACCAATTCCAGAACCCTCCCCGAACAGGGTTCACGATGCACCCAAGCTCCGGGATATCCGGAAGCGGATTGATAACCAGAGCTGGTCTGCAAGTGAGATTGAAGGTATTGCCGCTGATATGCTCCCTGAAATCGCCGAGCTCTCCCCAGATTACCTTGGGAACACGGTTGTACAAAAGCTATTTGAGCACTGCTCTGACGAAATGAGGGATGCGATGTTGGCTGAAATTTCCCCTCATATGGCGGAGATTGGCATTCACAAGAATGGCACATGGGCTGCTCAGAAGATAATTGATGTTTCCCACACTCCAAAGCAGATGGGTATGATTGTTTCGAATCTGCAGCCATACACGGTTCCATTATTCCTAGACCAATATGGGAACTACGTTTTGCAATGCTGTTTGAAGTTTGGATCTCCATACAACGATTTTATCTTTGAAGCAATGCTTAGCCAGATGTGGAAGATTGCGGAAGGTCGATATGGTGCTAGGGCTATGCGAGCCTGTCTTGAGAGCCACCACTCCACAAAAGACCAGCAGCGAATGCTTGCTGCTGCCATTGCCCTCCATAGTGTGCAATTGGCCACCAACGCAAACGGCGCTCTACTCCTCACCTGGTTCCTCGATACCTGCACGTTCCCTCAACGCCGCACAGTACTTGCTCCGCAGCTTGTGCCCCATCTGGTCCACTTGTGCACCCATAAAGTTGCATATCTCACCGTGCTTAAGGTCATCAATCAAAAGGCCGAGCCAGGCGCACGTGATACCATCTACAAGGCTCTCTTTTTCTCTCCGAATGACGAAACTCTTGAGGCAATCCTAGCAGACCATGCCTGTGGTGCTACGCTTATCTTTAAGGTCCTCACGACGCCATTCTTTGACGAAAGCATTCGATCCCAAGTTGTGGAACATGTCCGAAACGTTCTTTTGCGACTAAAAGCTCAGCCAGCTCAGGGCTACAAGCGTCTCATGGACGAAGTGGGACTCTCCACGCGCAATGCAAGTGCTGGACCGAACCGTGAACATGCGTCAAGCAGCCACTCGACTGAACGAACCCGGCCCAGCTCGAACCACAGCCAGATGAATGGGCCTGCACCTCAATACGGCAGCCAGTTCTATCCTGGAATCCAGCAGCCTCAGTTTGATGCCAACATGGGCATGCAACGAGCAGACAGTGTCGATTCGAATCTTGCATCCTTTCCTACTTACGGCCTGCAAAATGCGATGTTCAATCCTGGCAACGTCTTCGTCCCCCCTGCTAGCCTTCAGCAGTACCAACAATCACTCCTGGCTCGTGTGGCACCACCAATGAATAATTACTATCCCAACGTGCAATCTGGCTTTGGCTACAATAACGCGAGTCCCTCAGCAGAGCATTACAGAAATCAAGGTTTACAGAACGGGAGCCCAATCCAGCCACCGCAGTCCAACATCAGTCCCAGCCCTATGTTAGCTCAAAATCAATTTGCCCCTCCTGGACTCTTTGGTAACATGGGGATGGGTCTTGGCGCATATGGATATGCTGGGATGGGCATGCAAGGAGTGGGATATGGCATGCAGCAGGAACAACCAGTCAATGGGCGACGAGGACGGGTGCGTTGATCCGAATCAATCCTAACTGATGAAGCTAATATCATACAGAGATGAAAATCCCATACACTTGGGAATTCGATTTAGCGGCTGCCTTGGACGACGGAATCAGTCAGTGTATAAAATGTGGGATGGGCAATCTTTGGAGTTCGGGAAGGAACCAGGGGATTCATTTCGACACAGGCAAAAACCACGTGAAAATTTTATGTTCGTGTATACTCTTCTCTCGAGGAGCATGGGTATATGTGTAAGGATGGGTTTGGTGTTCATTGCGACCTTGTATGAATTCGCCAGGTTGCGAGTTGTGGACACGGCCATTCATTCGCAAGACTTGCTTTCTCTGTCAGATTCGTAGCAGATAGAGATTTGAAAATGAAATTCACAATTAGAATTGCATGGCCATGTTAAGGAAGCTTTGAACAGAAGCATCTGTATCATCTCTTTCAATTTTGCGTATCAATTATATCAACGTCAAGAAATTCAGCTTCCGTCCCGCCCAAAATATACGAAAGAGAGTCCGCTTACTATTATGTATAATCCGGCCACCACTACATTCATGTCCCCATATTCGACCGTATCGCTCAAATCCCCGCAATCCTCGGCTTCATGACCATTCCAGCTCTATGCTCCGTGGAAGTAATAGCATATAGCTATGGATGAGGCCTCTCGTTTCCAACCGCCCATTTATCCGCAATATAATACTTATGAAAGCGTTCTACTCGACAATGCCCGGCGCCAGCAGAGGAGAAATAGGGTTGAAGGCGTATTTTGCGATGAGTGGCATCACCGCGGCGGAGAATAAGAGGTGCAGGGCTTGGCGGGGAGATGTGCTTTGTGTTGTAAAACCTTAGGGGGTAGGAAGGGTGTATTCTAACATAGCCTTTGCTTCTCCAAGCGGGGAGGGGGGACATAACTTTTGTTTGGTTTGATGTTTGGTAAAAGGTACAAAATGAACGTTGGATTTTGTGATAATAGTTTTACATCGACGGTGAAGTTCTACTACTACTCCCAACTCTCTCCTGGAGAAACTATCAAGACATACCACATCATATCCCATATCCGCGGCCTTCTCAATCCTCGCCGCCTGTATTACAACACCCACCGCAACTAAGAAGCAAAGACCCGTGCCCATCTAAGCTTCCCCTTCCACCGCTCCGGGTTGTTTGGTGATTCTTCCTGCTTTTTTTAGTTACTTCGATTTCAGAAGCTATCAAAAAGCGGACTTCTTTCATCAATGCTTCCAGCATATCCTTCAATGTCATGCCATCAATTTCCAAGACATTGCTCTTATGAGCGTTTAGCCAAGTTCTAGCATCCAGGAGTTGGGGTGTGAGTATTTCTATCCGCTTCTGGATCCCACGGGCTATATCTCTCGTCTGGGTACACTCATGAAGTACAGTGTCGGATATCCCTTTCCAGATGGCAATATCGTCAAGCACACTTTCGATCTCTGCGATCTCGGCCGTATTACGAGTGAACCAGCTTTTTCTTTTCTCGTGCCGCAAGGACCTTCTCCTCCTCTCAATCTCCTTAACCGTACTCTTAGAAATGCTAACGAAGTCGTTCTCAAGGTTGTCCAGCTTCTTCGTCAATTCTCCCCCTCCTGATCGTACTTCCCCCGCAAGGTTGTAAAGGGAAGTCATATGGTTGATCCAGAGCGTGAGCTGCTCAGTCGTAACAGTTGGCTTGTATGTCCAAAAATAGGCGAGGATATACCAGCGGATATACCCACATGAATACGCGAGATATTCCTTTTGTAGAATTTCCATCATGCTTAACGTCTCGAACGACATCTCTCTTCGACTATAACGTACCAAGAAGAGCCAACCCACAATATCCTCCCGTACTTCGCTTGTGGTGTCGGCCAAGTCTGTCAGTTTAGAGACCAGCGCTGACGCGTTTTCAAAGTCGTGGAATGATACATAGCTTGCGTATTCATGAATTTTGAAAAACAATTGGCCGAAGGCCAATGGCAGGTGCCTTGTGCGATCATCAGTGTCATCCCCGGTAAGATCATGGATATCTTCCAAGGGCAGTAGGAAAGCGTCTGGGTCGATAACATAGTGAGCGGGAGCGGGAGCGCAAAAATGAAGTTGCGTTACAATCGGATTGTAAGTCGAGCACAGAGGGTTGCGTTGATTGAGATGGCAGACTGTCCAGAACTGTGAGACCCAGGGGGGTAGACAGAGATGCCATATACTAAATACCAATAATACCGCAATAACGACAAGCATGAGTAAGATGGGCCAACAATGGCGTAGGCCCCAAACAAGCAGTCGCGAGGCCGGATGCAACAATTGACGACGGATCCGGGTCAAGGTGGTCCATACAAACTCCAAACAGCCGCTAGCAATTCCGGGATCGTAGGCCGTACTTTCTTTCGGTTGCCTTGGCGCATTCTTCGGCTTTCGGGGCACAGGCTCAGGCGGTACACCATCACCATGGATGTTGATATCATGAGCCACTCTGTAGAAATCGTCGCCAAAATTGGCGGAGGATGGGATGCCTTGGGGGAGCTGGGCAAAAGCCGATGCTTGATGCGGTTGATTCGAATAGAGCATGGATTGCAGTTGACGTTCTCCATTCTGAATGGACGATGTAGCTTCCTGGATACGATTCGTCTTTGAGCCACCACGCTGGCGCCTGTGCCGAATGGCCGCTGGGGCTGCCGAAAGTTTATCGCCTGACGACAAAGGGAATTTCGACCCGGGCATGATGATGTTTCTCGACGAAAGGGAGGTCCAGGTAAATCGAGTAAAACTGAAGATGCAGAAATGCAGAAACAGTAAAAAATGCTAGGAGAGTAGGAAATTCCAATATGGTAGTAGTAGAAGATGCTACGAGCGTAGAAGCGAGGTGGAGTTCAAGAAGAAATCGATGAGAAAGATATAGAAATATGCAATGGCGATAGAAATTGGGGTGCGTGGGAATTACAGGCACGGGCAAACAAAGAGACTCTCTTTGAAACTATGCGCATGGAGCGCCGGGAACCTACAGGAGCTGAAATTGAGAATATTGGAGCAAACGCCACCCTCTTCGACATACTTTCTCCTTTTCCGTCAACATCCCCCTCTGAGCTTTCCCTACCATCACTGCTTTCTTTGAAGTTTCTTCTCGGCTTCTTCTAGCATTACCGCCCTTCTCAAATAAGATCATTACTTTCCCATCACCATTATCATCGCAACTGAAGCTGGAGCTGAAGCTGTTCTACCAACTAAAATGGCAGCAGAACGTCCCATAATTGCGTGGGACAGGCTAGACACAGCAGTCACTATTATCATACTGCTTCTCTTGGGTTTAGTATTCCTCAAGCAGCCATCTCTCTGGGCGGATATATGGTTGGAACGGCGCCTAGCTGCTTTGACTCGACGTCTTGAATCTCCGTTCGCTCGGCAGGGCAGCCCAGAAGGCGACGCCAATCTCCCCCAGTCGATGCCTCCTGATATTGCTGCCGCTCGTGAGATCGAGGGGTCCCTCTCTGCAATCATGAATGAACGGGATACGCTGAAGGCTGACTGGATGATCTGCCCAAAACTTGTCGTTCACCAACTACCTACTAAAGAGGAGCAGAGCCTTATGGAGTGCTTCACCACCACCCAAGACTGGATGCGCATGGCTGAAGAGGCTACATCGCGCAGCCAAGCTCTCGTCGGAGTGTTTGCTACGTTTCGCAACCGGAGAGCACCACCGCCTTCAACAGGATCATCTTCATCTCCAAACCAGAAAATGCGGGTGTGGGCAGTCGTGTATCGCGATATGATGGCGCGGGGAGTGGCACCCCCTATGCCAACTTCAAAGAGAGGCTGGGCAGAAGACCAGAAGGAAAATCCGAAGCCACAGCGTGTGAAGGAGCTGGTGATTTTCGACCCGGCGATGGATGGCCTGCGCCGTGCGCTCCATAGCCGTACAGAGACTCCCATCCAGCAATGGTTCTCCGGGTTTCTAATCCCCGATCAGCAAGCCCTTATACGGGATGTGGTAGCTCGGACGCGGCTACGAGAGGCAACGCCGTTTCCGCGGGCGTGGATCGGGGGAAATGGCGACGACTTCCAAGACACAGGAAATAGGGGCGGCGACGTCGTGGTGGCGTGGTTACGCAAAGCTTTACGAGGCCACCATGCCGAATTCCCGTCCGTCTACGAGGACGTGGAAGCACTGGAGGGTGATCGAAGTGGAGGTGGTGATGGAGGTTGGATGGCGAAAGGGTTTTGGCCGGTGGTCTTTGACGAGTCAATCTCCACATCCTCCCCCTGTTAGAGATGCCAAAGACTGCGCGAGTGGATTGGGCCGTATTGGTGGTGACATAAATCCAGATGTTAGTTAGTTCAGTGGTTGTCTTATAGATACTATCATATAATATAGGGATCACAAAATTGTTTTCGTAGCTGACGTACCCAACTTTAAATCAAATTACTGGAAGACACCTAGAGTAGTCTCCAGTCATTGGGTTTGGGTTGGACATCCCAGCCCTGCCAAGACATCGAGGGTTGGGCAACCATAGCCCAAAATGTGGTTGGTCATCATAAGAAAACGAGGGAGCAGATGGAAAACATGAAGAAGCGGAGAAATATACGTGTCGCAGAACCCTTGTCAATTGTAGGTTAAGTGGACAAACACCATGTAATAAACATTCCGTTATATGGGCTATTTTAGTGGTGTTATTACGTGGCCTAATATTTTCCTAATTTAAATACAAAGCCGCTTGCCTATTCAATAACTAACCATGGTTCCACAGATCCAAGGGATTGACTAATATCTTATGTGCACTTAAGACTATTGGGATTATTACTTATAAAATTATATAGGGCTATTTACTGGACCACTACAACAAAATGTTAAATACACTATATCTGTCCTCGATCAGATCGAAGATACGCTCATGCTTACTCTAGAAAATAATATAAAAACGCCAAGTCCCTGACTCTGGCAGCAAAACCAACCCGTCTATACCATGCAGCCATGGCCCATTACCTATTATTCTTTATACCATCTAAGCCATAGGTGGGCATAGCAAAACAGAGGAGCCACGAGGGGTAGTTTGGGGCTGTATAAAACTGCAGGTAAAGCAGAAGGTACAAATTAGTAACAGTGCTATTAGACAAGGTATCTTGGATTGGATTATTCCGCAATCAGTTGTGGGGGGGGGGGGCAGCAAGGAAGTAAGAGACGAAAGCTAACATTAATAGTAAAACCCAAGTCACGGTTAATAAATATTTTTACGAAATGTAGAATATGGAAAGAAGTTAGTACAATATCAACTAAACCAAGGAGAGAATTAGGGGTCAATGAAGCACGCAAGTCGGCATAGGATATGATTAAGGTAGATATAAGTAAGATACGCCCCTGTCCATCCTCCAACCTATTCCACAGATTTTTATACACATTCCTAGGCAACTCTGTCCCATCTGCATTACCGATTTCCTACTCACATTTGATTATACGGACCAGTCGGCATGTTGGGAACACCAGTTTGGACACTACTTGCACTCGAACTGAGTTTTGAAGCCGTCCTCGTGGTCTGGTCTCTAGCCCAAGATTTGATGTCTCTGAATCTCGGCACACTAGAAACCGAGTCTCTCGCGAACCATCGAGTTGAAGGCCTCTCCAGGCCATCGTCACTCATGGCCACTTCCTCCCTTCCAGTGTCTTTGGAGATGGGAGGAGGGGGCGAAATTGGCGGGGCCCTTGGATCTGATATCCTTGAAGTATAAGGCCGAGTGGTTGGCTGCAGTTGTTCCGAGAGGAGCGAGCCACCAACCCCCCCGCGTTCAAGGTTCGACGGTGCGTGGATACCGCCTGGTTGCATAAATGCCGGGGCGTATGCTGGTATCTCCCCTGCTTCCGTTCTTGGCTTTGGGGTGTTAGCTTTAATTACATCTTCTCCCCAAGTCGACTTACCCCGGATGAGCTTGCCCCTCCCCATATCCTACTCTCCGTCGATCTCTCGATGGATCTCGCCTTTCTCCTAAAGTTCCCCAAACCTGAAAATGCACCCAACCCGGCTCCCTTCTCATTAAACTCATCACCTTGTTGGTGCTTCCTTGACCGCCGAACACATAGCCAGAGCAAGAGCACTGCGGCCAAGACCCCCACTAGACATCATTAACATTCACTCACCCATTGAAGAGTCGCAATGGTTCTTACCAAGAACTCCAAACACAACACCGGCGATAGCGCCCCCGCCCATTTTCGTTGCTGTCGGCGAATCGACACTGCCTAACCCTACCGCCTCGGCTGGCGTTGTTGCAACCAGTTGCTATAGGGTAGTGATGCGTAAGTATTACATTTCAGATTACATGTGATCGCTTAGAGGACTTACTCTTTCCGAGCTGGTTGTTGGGAAACTAGAGGTAGACGTTCCTAGCACCTCTGGAGCGGGTGTAGTTGCGGGGATTGCCTGGGTCCGGGTGAGCTTTTAAGGTATCACTGTATTATTGCAGCTACTTACCATGGGGGCGCTTGACTGTAACAATGCCGTTTCTTTTGTGAGAGTTTGTACACTCGTGAGGGTTGTGACGGCAGTGATGGCCTGCACACTAGTTGTACTCTGTATACTCGTGGTGGCCTGCACATTAGTTGTACTCTGTTTACTCGTGGTAGTCTGCACACTAGTTGTCACCACACTCGAACTCGTAGTTACGGCAAGTGGTGCGGCCTGTAATTACATCAGTGCTGCAATCTTTCAATTGAAAGGTTAACCAACCGTGGTTATAGCGAGTGTTGCTTGAGAGGAAGTCACTGCGGAGGTACTGGCGATGATTTTGATACCGGTGCTGATGGCATCATCATCCGATGGCGAATCATCGCCCGACACCGAATCGTCGTCAGATGGTTTCACAAGCCCATCGTCACCCCTCCGCCTGACGCCTCGTTGCCGATTTCGAAAAAACCGCTGGTGGCGAGCCTTGAGATCCGGAAGTGCTGTGGTCGCTGGAAGGGACATGGCTGCTGACACTGCCGCTGATACTGCCTGCTCGTTTGCCCCGATAGGTAACAACATCATTACACCGAGGCCGACAACGGAAAACTCTAGAGCATAGAATAAACGAGTCTGATCCAGCAGACGTACTCGAATGGAAACAAACAGATAAGAGAGCCACGAAGGGGGAAAAGGATCCAGATCAACTGGAGTGAAGAAAACAATGTTGTGTCGAAGACTTAAAGACTTGGAAGTATCAATGCCACGGCACGTCGTTGGGTTATACCAAGACAAATGGCTGGGGGCTTGAGGGCGCCAGATATTCCCGACGACCTTTCTCCACACCTGGGTATCAGAATTCCCCCGACCGACCAATTGAGAAATGCCAGCCCAGTCTTAGAAGCTTTTGCAAGCGGTTGGGAAGCGATCTGGGGAAAGGGGAAGCAACTCGCATTGATCCTCCTATTCGTTGTGACATGGGGCCAAAACCCCGATGCCATACGCTCAGTGTAGCCCACCGGCAACGCTTTCCAATCAAGCTTTAAATTGGCGAGGGAAAAGCCTTGCGTAGGCGAACTGTGTTCGAGATGCGGTTTCATGTTGTCGGTAAGAGCGTCGTCAGCAGCGTCGGTGCCAGGAGAAATACGCTTGGCAGGAGGAGCGCCGAAAGCCTCCTAAGGGATCGTCACAACGTTCGCTATGCTTGGTACAGTGCATTGGTAGTAGACAGCAGTATACGAAGCACAATAATACAGTACATATGCTTCGTACTTCGTCGTCAACCCCGGATCGGGGAGGGCCTGGGACAGCAGGCAGTCTCCGCTCTCCACTCGGCCTGAAACCAAACAAAGCACACGACCTGTTTCCTCTTCCAGTGCTGCGGAAAGCTCGGAAAGCCCCCCGCATACGAAGTACAGCAGAACAAGGTACTCTAGAGTCTATCTGGCCAGTAAATGGCGCACCTCTGCCAAGTCGGCGAGCGAGAACTTGCCTCCGCAACTAAAACGCTAGTGATCAGTACGAACTTCGAAGTTAATCCGTCGTTAGGTATGGCGTACCTACGAAGTACTACGACGTAAGTCAGCGCAGTAAGAAGTTGGCTCCGCAGCCAAAACTCGGGTACAAATTACAATGGCTTTTCTTTCTACGCGAAGTGTAGAACCGAAATAATTGTAGCTACACGTCGCACAGCACAACCACAAATCGTGCTCAAAATGAGGCCATTCGCAACTAGTGCGCGGAGACGTAGAAGGTTGGTTGACGTTGTGTAAACTAACAGGCGCCTGAGGAGGGCGAAGACTGAACAACTGTTCGTGGTGCCCTCTACAAACCTAGGAGTTAGTCGCTATCTCTCTTGCCTATGTCCATCATTTTCGCAGCTGCCAGCGCGAATCCGTATCAAATTTGTCAGCGTGTCGCCGAGTAGTATTATATTATCTAGCCCTACAACTAGTGAGTTTCCTGAATATCACGTGCATACAAAATAACAAACTATAGTGGTTTGAGAATCAGTCATATTACCTCTCTGTCAGTTCTTGCGACGTACAACAAATTTTAATGTTCCAATATAACATAATCCCCCAACTCCCTCGTCCTAAAATCCCGTATCCTAAAATCCCTTGTGTCACGGGACCACGTGCTTTGGCATCATGTGATCTCGTTTCAGTTCTTCAAAAGCGCAAGGAATCGCCAATCTTCTTCTTGATTCCTCGCGCTACGTCTTATATCTAAAATCAATACATACCTTGACTCAAACTCTCACACTTGTCCTAAAATCCCTTGTTCCCAGTTCCATAGTCCCCATCATATAAATCCTTGTTCTATCAAATAGTTGAGCTTCACCATCATGGTACTGTATTGGAGTTGATGTTGCACATCCGCCAACTTGACCCGCCTGCATTGATTTGTCACGTGGGAGTACTTCGATCTTGTTTTATCCGCGCGGTTTGTTACCAGTGTCAACTTGAAGCAAATGAATGAATAATCCTTACCTGCACTTGTTCGCTACTAGGATTATTTCTGTTTGGAAGAAAGCCATCATCTGGCCTGATAACCATTTTATGATATATAAAATAACTAGAAAGGCAACTTGCTCATTTAACGAGCCCAGTGGGTCTAATGTTAGGTGATCAACCCCGCCAAAAGTTGAAGGCACTAACCTTATTACAGTGATAATGTTATCTTGTAGATTTACACATAAAGTGATAAACTGAGAGATCAGGGCACATCCGCAGCAAGGGCCTGCCTCAAACCAGCAAAGCGCTCATCCGCAGTAACCCCCCAAAATCATCAGTTCCCTCACACCACCTCGCTAGCTTATCTACAAGAACTTGGTCCCCTTCATCTGCTTTCCGCAGATCCCCCAGCTTCAGCTGTGGCTCTAACCCGCCACCGCTGGATATCACCCGTTCAAGTCGAAACGCCCACGATTCCCGGATGTGATAGTCCCACAAATCTCGTGGCCCAGGCAGCGGGGTATTTTCGGTGCCTCCACAACGCTTCGGGTCACGGTACTCGTCTGACCCTTCGCGAACGAGTGAGTCGAGCATGAAGAGAAGAGCCATGGTTCTAAATTTGTTAGTATTTAGGACGGCAAATCGAAAAGGCAGAAGAGATAGGAGAGGCGGGAAAGAAGGATGTAATGTGAAGAGGAGAAATACCGGCGGATGCTTTCGTTGAAAGTCCATACGCGCTGTGTGAGATCCGGGAGGGCAAGGAGGTTCCGCAAATGCGAGCTTGATTGCGATTGAAAGAGAAAGCGAGCAATTTCCTGTTCGTCAAGTCATTTCAACTAGTTCCTCACAATGTATTCTAGTAGACAAATGACAAGAGTCTGGGTTTGCTCACCATGATAACCGCCCCTAGGGAAAGGAGGTCGTCCAGTTGTTTGTTTTGGAGGTCTTGTGATTGCAACAACAGGTAGATTGCCATGCTCTGGAAAGCTCCTAGTAGCTCATCGCTATTAAACTGTCGATACTGTGTCTTGTATCAGCTTCTTTCTTGTGTCCATTTCTTGTCACGTTCTCACCTCCCTCCCAAGACGCTCCGCCTCTGCATAGATGCTCCTCCACACCATGTCTTCAGTAGCTGGCGTTCGTGCCTCCCAGATCCTGACTAATGATGTGCACACGGCCAGTGGAGGTGTAAGACATTGGTGTACACCGTTCTGAACACAGTTCTGGGGAAGCTGATCATAGAGCACGCACGACGGGTAGATAAAAGGTGGAAGTTGGCCGCGAAGGAGCAGCGTGGGGTATGCCTTTACTTGACCCCGGATGAAGCGAGAAGCGAGGTGAGAGTCAGTGGTTTTTGAGTTGCGGGGATAAAGGAGGTCGTGGTATTTGTTGCCAAGGATTACCACCATGCCGTTATTGTTCTCGGAAACAAAATCCTGACGATCTGACTGGTGTCTTTCTCTCGGGAAGAGGTGACTACTTTGGGGCCTACTTGGTTGTTCTAGTACCTCATTAAACGTAATAGGAGCTGTCCCGCCAGGTACAGAGCAAGTAAGATTTGAACCGGTCCAACTTGGGGTTGGCCACCCAAGGCCATCGACTCTAAACACTGAAGGTTCTGATGCCGCAGTTTCCGTGAGGTTGAATGCATACATGTCGCCATTGTCCCCTCTAAGAGAATTATGATTGTCCACATCTTGGTCAAGTATCTCGTCTAACAACAGCAATGGCTCTTCAGGTCTGGATACAGGCACCGCCGTCTTTGAGAACGGGGCATAAGAACATTGCAGTCCGCGGTCTATGCAGCGCGAACACACATTGGCCAGATTACAGCGCGCCTTAGCACGGCGGCAATGCATGCAGGACTTCTGTCGGGAAATAGGCATTGCTGTCTCTGTCTAGACCAGAAAAGTCAAGTTGGCGTACAGTTGTTCATCACAGAGGGGCTCCACGGAGCTTGATGGATGTCATGTTTATGCGTTATGTCAGCACCGCGGAGTTTGGGTGGGTCTGTCGCACCACTGCACCGGCCAATAACGTGCCAGGTGTCAAACCACAAAGACCATGTCTAACCCGACTGCTACTACCTCTCCAACTTTTTTCCGATTATTTGGAACTCGAATTCTAATTCTCAATTTGAGGGATAGCCCTGCTAACTGAATTATACACCTCGAAATGAACCCACATGGAGTTCCATTTGTTTCCAATGCACCGGAATTCCGCGGTTTATGTGCATGAGGCTATTTATCAACTGACGAGCACGAGTACGTGACTCTGCATATCACCAATAACGACTGAGGATAAATACCAGAGGTTCACCTCATTTGACATCATCATTTCATTCACTTATTCTATCTCATAACCTTCGCTCAGAAAATTCTCACGCAATATCATCTCAAAATGCCTCCTACTCGAGTCGGATTCATCGGTCTCAAACCATCCACCGACGGTTCCCTTCTCGGTTCCTGGGGCGTCCGTGGTCATCTCCGTTCAATCCAGGGTCTCCCCAGCCTGTACGAGATCGTAGCTATTGCCAACTCGACCGTCGAGTCCTCTCAGAAATCCATCGAAGTCCACAAGCTGCCCACAACCACCAATGCCTATGGCAACGCTGAGGATCTTGCCGCAGACCCGAATGTCGAGCTTGTGGTTATCAGTGTTGAGGTCAGGAAGCATTATGAACTTGCCATGCCAGCGTTGAAGCATAAGAAAGATGTATTTGTGGAATGGTAAGTCTCACGTTCTCAAAATATATTATCATGAGAACTGGATGCTAACTCTAAGATTGCTATAAAGGCCAATGGCTGCAAGCGTTAAGGAGGCAGAGGAACTAACAAAAGTGGCGAAGGAGAATGGAGTTAGAACTATGGTCGGGTTGCAAGGGCGATAGTAAGTTTCAATGTGGAAGGAGATGACTTGAGCTAATGTAACAGTGACCCACTGGTGCAAAAGGTCAGAGAGATCTTGGCTGAAGGGAAGATTGGCAAGATTATGAGCTCAACTGTGACGGCTTGCAGCAGTGTTCTACCTGTCGAGACCTGGCTGAAGGACCTGGAATTTTATCTCGACTTCAATAGCGGAGGGAACGAGTACACGATCTTCATGGGTCACTGTATGCCCTCTTTGCCTCTACCCTTATGAGAACTTATTAACCCATTGCCCGTACACAGTCCTTGACAGCTTCACATACCTCCTCGGCGACTTTGCATCAGTCCACGGCCTCCTTGCATCCCAGTACCCAACCGTCATCATCATCGACCCCGCCACAGGCCAAATCGTCAACCCCGCATATCCGAAAACCGCACCCGAGCACATCTTCATCACCGGGACGCTAGAATCTTCAGCCGTTGCGTCGCTCGCGTTCCGAAAACCCAAGTCTGCGGCTGACAGGGTCGGGTTCCGCTGGTACATCACAGGTACCGAGGGCGAGATTGCAATCACCACTGAGGAGGGCAGTTGGCAAGGTGGCGGCATTAGGGAGAAGAGGAAGATTTCGCTCAAGGTGGGGAAGGCTGACAGTGTAGACGTTGGGTTTGGGAAGGATGATACCACGCTAGCGGAGAAGGTTGCGTTTCCGGCTACGAATACTGCGAGGCAGTATGAGGCATTTGCTGCTAGAGATGGGGAGGTGATTACGTTTGAGGATGCGTTGAGAAATCATCGGTTGCTGCAGAGGATTGCAAACTCTTCTGGATGGGAAATGATGTAACTAGCTGTAGAACATAATCATCGATAGGTGTTGTCAAGTATACGTTTATTACAGTTATCGCATGCTCTCTCGCTATTTATGTATCACCCGTATCACGTAGTTGAGCGCGTGGAAAGCCCACGGCCGAGACTGTTCAGCAAACAGTGACGGCATAAGGGATGGATGGTCGTGCCAATCTCAAATCTTATTGACTGGTTGTATTTGTATGTGATCCACTCCATGATGCCGTCCTCAGCGGGTTCTGGCAGCGTTTCTGCTTGTGCCATGATCATGACATACCCATGTTGTTGGGCTCGTGAAAGCGGATCCTGCTACAGTAGTAAAAGTGGCTATTTTCATTCTGGTCATCATCTTTTCGGGGTCTTTGCCACCTCCCGTCTGCAATGGCCTCCCATTTTCTCTTGTTCTCGGAGTTGGGGAAAAGATGGCACAACTGCTCAAATAATTACAGTTGAAGTAGTACATATAATTTGCAAGACACACAAGTTAAATAATATCCCAGAGCGTGAAAGCGTCAATAGATTTCGACCGTGCTATAGATGGTTTAATTGATCGTACTGTTAACTAAATAACTTTATATCTAATAGATCCTATCCGATGCCTCTGCGTAGTTGGGATGGAACCCATTTTGACCCCCTCGAATGATCCAGCAGAACTAAGTTAACGTTATCCCACTTTTCCCACGCCCCTTTTTGGAAGTGAAGTTTGATTCTGGCCTGCGACTATTGTTGAGAGAGACAATGCCCAAGTCTAGATGGGCGGTATGTCTCAAAGTGTCATCCATCTCTTTTCGAAATGGTAGAGAATCCTTTCAAAATGTCATCTACCTCTTTTCTAATACCAAAGCTGACCATTATTTTCAGATAAATTAGTGCTGCGAGTATGGCATTCTTTTGCTTCTTGCTCCATAGCGCGAGCATTAATCATGGGTCGGTACAAAAAATCTGAAGAGAAAGAATGGGAGGACGCTTTTACACAGCGTAAGGACAAAATCATGAAACTCAAATCGGATGGCTACTCATGGCTATAACGGCGCGAGAGGTCCGCGCTCGTCGAATCCATCTAGTATGGCAGGTTCGTGACATCGGTAAGGTATATATTCTCTCACCTCTGGACTAAAGACCTAACAGAGGTAGATGTCACAATTGCGGCCCAGCCGCTCCTAAACGGTGCGTTAAGCGAGGATACGCTGGATAATAGTTTCGTATATACCACCGAAGCTGTAATATTCTCATCTCACTAACAGGAGATGGATCCTAAGCATCTCAATACTGCGAATCTAGATTGATTGATTATTCCTTTTAACGTCTTTTGTAAGTCGAAGACTATAGTAGGACGGTTAGGGCTCTAGAGCCCTAACAAGCTATTGTAAATACATATTTGAGAGTCAATATAGTCTGGGGACAGTGAGGGCCTAGCCCTAGTAAAATCAACGCTGTACAAATGAAAAGTAGTAAAATGACCGAAACACCTGACTATAGTACTATATAGTTAAGTTACTCCTCCGCTCTCTCCAAGTGCTACCGCCTCGTTACGATCCTAGTCTCTTTTAGGAAGCTAATCGTCACCGCTATTCCGACTTTGGTATGTAGTAGCAGGGGTAGGGTGAGCCTAACCCCCCTAAGTTCCGATTTAAGTGCCGATCTAGCTCCTTTGTACTCCGAACAACTAAGGACTAAGTGTTCAGGGGTCTCTCTTTTACTGCACCGGTATAGATCGCTATTAGAGCGATCTAGTCTAAATAGGTACGATTTGAAGTATCCGTGGCCTAGCTTGAGCTGGTAGAACGTACTAGCTGTTTCCTTTTTCGTATTAGGTGGAATTGAGAGCTTAGCTTTTATTTTCCAGATAAACTTGCGGGTATAGCTATTTGGATTGGAATTGGGCTTGTTTGTCGTATAGTTATTTATATAACTTAACTACTCTGCTCTGCGAATTCCCTTGATTTTCATTCCTAGGTAAGCGAAGTTAGTACTATTAGAGCTAGGCTCTTCAAGTGTAGCTCGTTTAGCTAAGCGATCGGCAAGCTCGTTTCCTTCGATATCGGTATACCCTGGAACCCAAGCTAGCTCGATACTAGCCCCTTTTTGGATTGCCACTTCAGTAGCCTGAATAGCTCTGATTTGGCAAGCTTGGCCGGGGTTATTACTGGGTATTTTCAGGCGGTGTAGACTAGCTTGATTGTCCGAATAGATCCGGTATTTCTGCCGGGGTATAGCTATTGAACTAACGTACTCAATAGCTTGTGTAACCCCTTCAAGTTCTCCGTTATAAACAAGCTGTTCAGCCCCGATATTAACTATACTACTATACTGAGTAGTAGGTATAGCTATACCGACTCCGGCACTTATACTGTCGGGTATATAGGAAGCGTCGGAGTAAACGTAGGTAATTCGGGTATTGTGAGCTACAGCTTCTTCCTCTTTAGGCAATTGACTGATTTCGACTAAATAGAGTGTTTTTCGGGCCTAAGGGGGGAATTAGAAGTGCTGGATTCGTTCGTAGTTATAACTAACTATACGGCCAATTGAGCTGGTAATCCGGTCTAGCTGTATAGCTAAAGTTGGTTCAGTATTGTCGGGTTCCGAATTAGCCAAATATTGCCTAGCTATTGATCTATTAGCTAAATCGGCACTAGCTTGTTCGGTATTTTTGCTAGTTTCTAAATTAACCGGGTAGTTTTTCGAGAGTTTTGTAAGGCGGAGAGTGTATTGCTGGATTGAGCTATTAAGCCGGATTCCAGGGGGGGGGGGGTAAGCTTGCTCCCACTTCTATTGGCATAATAAAGGCTGTTTTGAATACTCCTAATATCTTCTGTAAAGCTAGGTTTTGGAGCTCCTGGAGTCGCCTTTTGAAGCTAGCTTAGCCTCTCCACCAAATAATCGATCTGTAATCGGCAATACTCGTTATGCAGGCTATATATAGCTGGCGTATAGCTGCTGGTGATAAGCTGCGCTCAGTATTAGCTAGGCGGGCTAGGCGTAGGAATGCCGATTTAGCTTGAGCTATTCGGATTTTGAGGTACTCTTTGTAAGTGAGTTTTCGATTAAACCAAATGCCGAGCCACCTAATTAGCTGTTTCGGCTCAATTCGGGTTTGATCTAGCAAGTATAACTTAGCTTTGCTAGACTTAAAGTAGATTAGTTCAGTCTTTGTAAGATTAAATTAAATCGCACTTTTAGTTCCTTGATCAAATAGCTTAGCTACTTCTCTTTCTAGTATCTTGATATTACTTGTATAGTTAAGTGTAGTAACTATTAGAGTTATATCGTTGATATAAGAGAGTAGGTGAGCTGTAACTATACCGGTGAAGAGACTTTTTATATATATAAGGAACAGGATAAATGATATTAGAGAGCTTTAGAAGATTCTAGTATTAAAAGCGGCAAATTGCTCTATTTAGCTGTCAAAAGCTAGGTATAATAAGCGATTACTCAGAAACGACTATATCTAACTAGCTAAGCTAGTAAGTAGGTGTAAATCCTTGAATATTAACAATAGCTAGTTTTTAGCTATATAGTCGAAAGTTCCTTTAACGTCTAAAAGTAAAGCCAACATCTTTTGCTTCTATTTTAAGTCTATTTCGACTTCGTTATTGAAGAATAAAGCTGCATTAATAGCCGATTTTTTGAACTTACTTTTTATTTAGCTTAGGTAGAGTAGTTAGGTCGTTTCAGCTCAATAACTTAATTGTTGAGCTAGAATCCGTTCGCTGACTTTGCCTAAGCAATTGAGGAGTGATATTACCCTATACACTTTAGGTAGAGCGTAATTAAACTTTCCTGGCTTTTTGAGAATCGCTCCTGTAGCTTGTTTCCAGCAAGTAGGGTGGTATCTAATGTCAATTAGGGCCGAAAAGAGCCTGAAAAAGACTTCCGGAATAACGTTATAGGCGTGTTGGATAATTACTTGCGTAATTAGATGTGGTCCAGGTGTTTTGCCTTTGAGCTTAGTCGTACAAGCGGTAGCAAGCTCCGGTATAGTTAAGTTGGGCCAAAGCCACTTATTCGAAGGAATATAACTTAACCAGCTTAGCTTTGGAGCTTGAGGTGGAGGTGGGAAGAGCGTAGAGCGAAAAGCGTTGCATTTGCCGGCAAATGAGGACTCTAGGTGTTCCGGACCGGCTGGGTACTCCGGATTAGTACTAGCCTGGATAGGCGGTATGAATTCGATCTGCCGGTGCCTGGTATAAGCTATAGCCTTGAAAATAGTCTTCGGATCCTCCTTTTCAAGAAAGTCGTTCCAGTGGCTCCGTTTTGCCTGCTTTATAGCTAAAAAGTAGGTGTTTTTAGCTATAAGGTAGTCGCGTTTAGCAGGATAGTTATAGCTATACCGGATAAACGTTCGTTGATTCCGAATCATTTTCTGGCGTAGTTCTTTCAGATTGTCGTTCTACCAGGGCTTAGCCCTAGCCCCTACCTTCCTTTTTGGGATACTTAGGTCCGCCGCCTCCGCAACTGCCTTAGTAAGCTCTTCAGAAGCCTCATCGAGTAGCTTAGCAATAGCTATACTACTCTCTTCTTCTTGGAGAATAGCTAAAGAGTTCGTATAGTTAAGTCGTATAGTTGTCAATTCAGGTGAATTGAGAGCTGTACAGTTAACTATACCGGATTTCAGCTTCTCTGAGAATATGCCCTAATCGGCTAGGTCGGTATTATAGGCGGTAGCTAAGCTTGGATTATCGACTAGCGGTTGGGTATTGCCGGCAATAGTAAAGCTAATGCCGTAGTGATCCGATTCGAGATCCGGGAGTATAATCTAGTCCTGGATTTTGCTAGCTAGGCTTGGGCTGACTAGAGTAAAGTCTAGGACACTTTCTCTAGTCATATAGGGTCTGAAAAAGGTGCCTGTGCCAGGGGTGTTCAATAGCTCTAGGCTATTAGATTCGATCTAATTGACTAGCTCTTCAGCTCCAGGAGACGTGGTAAGTGCCAGCGGATCCTACCAGGGGTGGTGGATATTGAGGTCTCCGGCTACCACAGTATTAGGGCCTAGGGCTCTAGAGTATAATACCCGATTAACTGTACGTAAGTCCGAATCACCTAAATCCCGCTCGTTGTAGATATTCAGGAGTTGAATAGTCGCTTTTGCTTCCGAAATATCTAAAACAAGCAGATCCGGGTCGTTTGGTGAGGAATTAGCTATATAGCAAGAGGGCCTAAACCCTCTAGCTATATAAGCTAGTGTACGTGGCCGTAAGTGAGTTTCCGGCAGAATTTGAGTGAATCTAGAGTGGAGAACTGAACGGGTATTGCCTTAGCTGTAGAGTACTCTCCGTAGCTTCGGCGCTACAGTTCAGATTCATTTATAAAACTTTAATACTATAACTAATTATATAGTTCTAGTATTTGGGCTTTTGGTAGAACTTTTGGATTTGAGTGCTAAGAGCACTTCACAGGCTTTATCTGTGGCCAGGTGGGCTGCCTTGCAATTAGCACACTTTGGAGCTAGGTGTAGGCACATTTTGCCTGTAGCTTTGTAGCTAAAGCAATAGTGTTACTTAGTTGAGTAGCTTTTAGCACAAAAAGTACACGTAGGAGCCCGCCTACAGTAGCTTTCTAAGTGCCCAAAGCTAAGGCACTTAGTACACTGTATAGTTGGAGTAGTAGTATAGAGCTTTTCAACTCGTACACTTATTCCAGCTATATAGAGTCTATTTCGAATAGCTCTATTAGCTTCTTGCTCTGTAGCAAAAGAGAGAGCTATTAAGCTAGCTAGTTGATTTTGCTGGTATTCTTTATACGTAAGTTAATAGAATGTTCTAATTGGGTTCAAGCTAGTATTGAACGTTTTGATCTCATCAATGATTAAAGCTATACTCTCAGGGGTATTGAAATCAGTAGTAGAGATTCTGTGGATAGTTACTTTGAATTAAAGCTCATCTTTATATAGTGCCTGATTAAGTACTATATACTCCTAAATAGCTCTTTTTTAATCAAGAAATCGGCTGTATAGTTAGATATAGTTGTAATAACTAGATTCTTTTTCAGAGATTTAGTTACCGAAATAACTACAGGGCCTTTGATCCTTTTATCTGTAAAAGCTTTATTTAGAGTATTTCGGGCTAGTAAGAGGGAGAACGATGTAGTAGTTCTAGGGGTTTGTGTAACAATAAGCTTATTTGGGCTAGATCGTTCCGATTTGGGCAATGAAGTAGGTTTAGGCTTTCTGCTAACTAAAGTCTATTCCTCGGGTATTTTTAAAGCTCCGGAGCTTTGATTTGCAACACTTACAAAGGACAGTATAGTTAAGTTGTTATTTAACGTCGAATTGGAGGAATTGGGAGCGTTTGGGCGTATAGTTAAGTTTTTACTTAACCGATCGGATTCATGGGCAGGGCGGGTAAGGCCGGCAGCACGTGAGAGGCCACGTGATTTCACTTCGAGCTACTAGGTCGCCGATTCCAGATTTGAGATCTGGGAAGAGATGATTTTCGACGTTTTTTAAAAGTAGCTGTGTTCAGTAAATTCTCTAAAGACCTCTAGGAGGTCTAAGAGCTTAGACTGTTCGGTACGGGCTTTGGTGAGGCTGTAGGCTTCGATAATCAGGTCTCTAGCCTCGAGTATCGCTGTACCGGCGGTGCGGGTGGAGGTGTCGGAGCCAGGGGCTCGGGGCTCGGGTAAATTCGAATTCGAAGTCGAAGTAGGAGTCGGAATCGGAGCTCAGAGTATCCGGGTAGTCAACACAGCCTAACGTAGGTACCCGACTCCGTGCAGTATTTCCAGGGGATGTGGCGACTCTGGGTCACTTCCAAATTAGGCTAGGGATGAAAAAAATTTCGATCTCAGGGGCGGAGGCCAAAGGGTCGCTGGAAAGGAAGTCAAATTGAAGTTCAATAATAATAAGTTGGATAACGTTTTTCGGAGACGCTGAAATTCGAATTGCAGGCAGGTTAGGGCTAGGGCTAGGCGCTTGCTCTATTTCATCCGAATCGACGGAGTGCCGGGGCGGTAGGGGGGGCGGCAGCTCCTGAGGGGGTTCCTGGAAGAGCTCCTGGGGAGTCAACGGATCCGAACTCGATTCTATCCTGCCTAACGTTTATATACAAATATATAAGACGATAAACAAGATAAATGAAGCGTTCTTCGAAGATATAAGAAGTCTTTAGGCCGAAAGTAGGAAATTGATTTTCGTCGAAAAAAGTTGTATAGAGTTAGTATATGCCATAGCTTTGAAGATCGTCTTTGGATCTTCTTTTTGTTCAAATTAAATTAGTATTCTTACACTTAGCTCGTTTAGTTAATACTAAACGCAGTTTATCACTAGCAGTTATACACTAGCTATATATAACTTATATAACAAATTTTACTGACTATAGATCGATTATTTAGTAGTATAGCTAAGCTAGTTTCAAAAAGCAACTTTAAGAAATCTAAAACTTAGTTTTATATAAATTATTAGAGATTTTCAAAACAGCTTTTATTATATTAATAGCGATAGAAACTAATTTACTCTCCTCTAGAATCTAGCTCAATAGTTTAATCTATAATATATTCTCCGATTTACAAAGTTGTCTAAAAACTATCTAGTTAATTTAGAAATTAGTAAGAATATCGAATATATTAGTACTAATTTAGCTAACGTTTCAATAGCTAAGTAATACTCAGCTATACTAGATTTGGATTCATACTCAGATTCGGAACCCGAGTTTACTGAACTGACTTTAGTTATATAACTCGATTATATTATCAGCTTAATTAACTGTATAATTAGTTATAGCTACGAACGAATCTAGTATTTCTAATTCCCCACTTAGGCTTGAAAAACACTTTATTCGGTCGAAATCGGTCAATTGCCCAAAGAGAATGAAGTAATAATTTATAATACTCTAATATTGATCCCGAATATTTGAATTACTTACATTTACTCCGACGTTTTCTATATACCCGATAATATAAATATTAGAGTTAGTATAGTTATATCTACTACTTAGTATAGTAGTATAGTTAATATCGAAGCCGAATAACTAGTTTATAACAGAGAACTTGAAGAAGTTATATAAGTTATTAAATACATTAGGCTAATAGCTATATCTTAGCAGAAATACCAGATCTACTCCGATAATCAAGCTGGACTATATTACTTGAAAATACTTAGCAATAACTCTAGCTAAGTTTACTAAATCAGAGTTATTTAAACTATCGAAGTAATAATCCAAAAAGGAGCTAGTATCGAGTTAGTTTAAGTTCCAGAGTATACTAATATCGAAAGAAACAGGTTTGCTGATCGTTTAGTTAAACAAGCTATATTTGAAAAGCTTAGTTCTAATAATACTAACTTTACTTACTTAAGAATGAAAATCAAGGGAATTCGCAAAATAAAGTAGTTAAGTTATATAAATAACTATATAACAAACAAGCCCAATTCCATCTTACTTAGTTATACTTGCAAATTTATCTGGAAAATAGAAGCTAGACTCTCAATTCCACCTAATACAAAAAGGGAAACAGCTAGTACGTTCTACTAGCTCAAACTAGGCCACGGATACTTCAAATCGTACTTATTTAGACTAGATCGTTCCAATAGCGATTTATACTAGTATAGTAAGAGAGAGACCTCTGAATACTTACTCCTTAGTTATTCGGAGTACAAAGGAGCTAGATCGGCATTCAAATCGGAATTTAGAGGAGTTAAGCTTACTTTATCTTTAACTTCCTAAAGGAGACTAGGATTATAACAAAGTAGTAGCACTTAGAGAGAGCAGAAGAGTAACTTAACTATATAGTACTATAGTCAGGTATTTCGGTCATTTTACTATTTTTCTTTTGTATAGCGTTGTTTTGACTAGGGCTAGGCCCTCACTGTCCCTAGATCATATTGACTATCACTATTATATTTACTATTAGCTTATTAGAGCTCCAGCTCTAACTGTCCTACTATAGTCTTCGACTTACAAAGGACGTTAAAAGGAATAATCAATCAATCAATCAATCAATCAATCATCTCGTGAAGCAGAGCGGCTGTTCAATACTGTTCAAATTCTCTCCGGGGAAACATTTTCCAGTTGTAAAGTGGCCAGGCGAAGAACGTGTTGTTTGGTCAAATGGACACGAAGTTGAGAAAGTGAAGTTATCAATCGGTACATCAATTACAGTTCGGTCGTAATCAGAACTTATAGGATGGAGATGAAGAATGATATAGGGAAAGCTGAAAGTCGCATTCCGGAGGTGCTATCGCGAATTGATAGGTGGTGTTGCCAGTACAAAGCGGAGAAGGAGTCCAAATCTCATTTGTCACCTCAGCTGTTTCATCATAGCTCCAAGATTAGTTGTACTGAGTTTGATTTGAATTCCAGGGTAGTTGGAGAACAGAAGTATCTATAAGACGCAAATCTGAATCATTCCCTCTTGTCCGAATGAAAAAACCTAGAACGCATTCCAGTAGTTGTGGAGATGAGCCCCGTTGTACTTGAGTCGACATTTTTCACATGTACACATATAGTTATTGGCAAGTACGAATATATGAGGGAAAGTGGGTGTTGTCCTACGTTATAGTGTTGCCCAGAACCTTTATAGCTTTGTTTGTATAGGCTAGTAGCATTACCATCCTCACGAAATCTGAGCTTTACTCCCTCAAAGCATTACCTAGATTCAATAATACCCAGAATTGCAGATGTTGCATTTCTCAAAGTTTGTTATATTATCACGTGCTGGTATTGCCCAGCTAGTCAAAAATAGGGCAGAGGTTTTGCAGTTTTCTGCAAAACTTGGGCTCTCAGCCGCAGTCATCTCACGCTATCCGCCCCTCAACCACATCTTTCTCAATCAACTCACAATCAGGACGTACTCGACAGGACCATTTTTTCATATGAAAGAGTGCTACGCACTCTTTGGACTCATTGGATACACTAGGGGCAATCGAGTTGCAACGTCTGATCTCTGGCGCCAATTCTGCAGCCTCGTCTCATGTTAGCCATCATGACATCCAGACAACAAGCACTGATAATATCTCCTACTGACCTAGAGAAACGCGTCAGTGTCATTGTCACAATGGATAGGATTAGGAGCTTAGACAACAGTCTGAGGATTCAAGACTCACGACATGAACTTTCCAAAAACCCTCATGTACCCCCATCAACCTGGGATCCCTACAGGTATCCAACAGTTCTAGGGAAAGATCCAAAAATTATTAATCAGAAAGTATCAAGTAAAATCCCATCGCGACCACTGTCACCACCACTACAAGCCCGTCGGTTGAATCAACCTGCTGTTCAACGCGTGCAATCTCAGAATGAGGGCTCCCGATTTAGCTCGAGTTCATTTTCGTCAGCTTCAAGTCGCGCAAGCAGCGCCGCCTATTCGTCCTGTTTTTCTATGGACTCCGGTAGCGGAAGGTCTTCTTCTACTGCAGAATCCTTCTATTCCGGGAGGACAATCGACTCGAGCCCCGAGAGGGATGCTATATCCTGGAGCGTTGGCAACCGAAAGCCTCCGCCCGTCACATATGGGAAAAGCCCTTTATATGAGAATAGCTTTGAAAATGAAGAAAGCAAAAGACAGGTTATAGTGAGAAACATCAATGGTAGGGAAGCCTTTTCCCACCGTCAACAGGTGAAAATTGACAGACCGTTGTAGGTTGACAGACCGTTGTAGGTTGACAGACCGTTGTAGGTTGACAGACCGTTGTAGGTTGACAGACCGTTGTAGGTTGAACACGACTTGGCAAAGGAACGGAGGCAGAGGAAAAGGGATAGAGATAAAAAACAGGGCAAAGCACTACCTCGGCTAGGAGAAAATAAAAAGTTACCTGTAGCGCAGGTTCAGTCTGATTTACCAAGTACTCAAGCTTCTTCAGACGTCGAGTACAGCTCGGCTTTCCAGTTTTACGAAGAGACTTCCCAGTCAACTAGAACAAGTTACAAATCTTGTCCTTCTCATTTTCAAGAGACCCCGGATATCCTAGCTCATGAAGCGGGCGGTCGCTCTATCACGACCCGTTCCAACACCTGGTCTCAGACTGGCTTGACCTCGTCAGAAGACGCTACCGATTGGGAGGAGGACAGCGACTTGGAAGACTCTTCCAAGATATCAGAATACCCATCACCTACTCCCCTGGAGAGACTACCTGAAATGGGACTTTTCCGCTTGCAAACAGAACTCTCACCTATGAAGTCCAGGTTAATTGAAAAACTCATGTTGGATATTTGGAAGATATTTAGTAATAGCTGGCTGTCCGGTATGCGACAACATGGCTCTTCAGGTCAATCCACAGTCAGCACAACGGATATAGAGTCTGGAGCCACCTCACGGGACTCTTCAAGCGTGAGGTATGGAAAGAGGGGTCAGAGTGGCGACGGAGAAGACGAGGAGAGCGGTGATCACCATGAACGACGACGCAAACGAGCACCAGTAGATAAACTGCCATCTGTGCGTGAAGACGATCCACTTGCGGCAAATTTCGCTTGCCCCTTTCGAAAACACGATCCTCGAAAATATTCCATCCAAAGGTGGCCTCGATGTGCTGAGAAATCCCAGAAAACGATCGCTCGGCTAAAGTGAGTTGTTCCTTCATCTTTCTCCCCTGCAATACGCTGTATGATTCTAACCTTCCCATAGAGCACATCTTTACCAATACCATCTCATTGAGCAATGTCCACCGTGCAAGTCGGTTTTTGAGTTTGAGGAAGCACTTGGGGCTCATAACATGAGCCAGGATAGATGCGAAGCAAAGACGGGCGAACAGATAGATGGCATGACCAGAAAGATGAAAGACCAGATACAATACAGGAAGAAACCTCACCCTGGACAAACAGATGTTGAAAAATGGGCAAGTCGTGCCTGATCCTTGTACGTCTCTTCTCTCTCCAATTTGTTTATCTCACGATTCCTCGTAATTGTTACAAAAAGTAAAATACTGACACGAGACAGATTTTGAACCGGTCCCGGATCACGACATACAAAGACCGCAGTCTCCAGACTCCGTCAGTATAGCCCACTACGAAGCGTACCTGGGCCGAGTACTTCCGAGATTGGTTAGGAACGCCCTTGAGACAGCAGTTAATAACGAATTACAGCTAATCGAAGCAGAGCTATAACGCCAAATGATGAATATTATACAAGAAGCACAAAATAAAGCCTTTATGAGTTTTCGCGACAAACATAGATCAGACTCTGGAAGATTATCCCCTTCTAGAACAGGAACAAACATGAATACCCCCGCTGACAGGCAACTGGACTCCAGTATTGAGACATTCTTCCAAGCTCCTCCACCGGGGAAGTCGGAATCCTTCTTAGATATATCTGATCTCCAGATCTCACAGAGGACATCTGGAAAGAAAGAATTCTCCGACTCAGGCTACAGTTCTCGCCCTTCACTTTCAACCACTTCCCAGTCTAGTTCATCTGAGATGTTGGAGCGTGATCCGGCACTTTCTTCGAGTAATTGTGATCAAATACATGTAACTCCCGATATCTCGATAGATTCCTCAACTTTTGATGTAGCGGAACTCTTGAACTTCGATGGAATAGATGATGTGCCACCTACAGACGATAACTGGCTAGACATACTACCAAATCTTCACCACATGGGCACCTCTGCATCTGGCTTCTTTGGTCTGGCCAACTACCACAACTTTCTCCCAGATCAACATGTACATCAGAACAATGAAGCAACTTTGAAGGAGCCAGCGTATCTACCCGACCTCATGGAACTTAACTTCTTTGACTATAATGACGAGCTGGAAACTCGATCTCTTTGACGAATGTTGCTAGCGATATCTTGTACTTAGTGAATTCTTGGGGAGTAATTATACTGCGAATATGGGAAAATGATTGACTGTTACCAATCATACAATCAAGTATTAAAAACAGATTGAATATCTGATAAAATTTTCAATTCCTTGACACACATTCAGTATAGACTTAGAAGTTGGAAAAAACGCCTGGGTCATTTCAGTGATGATACCTTCAACTCTGCGATTATCGTATCACTAGATCCTATGGAATCAAAATTAGCTCCTCAATACTTATCTGGAATTCGATTAGGTTCATGCAAGAGATAGTAAGATCCAAGAGTTAGCTTGTATGTAAGTCTGAATTGACAGCTCGCACTATCACTATATCTCTTATACATTCGGCTATACTAAGCTAAATAAATATTAAATCAAAACTATTTGAGTGAAAAAAGGAGGATGTCCACGTGTCGACTACCTTTGAATATTTAGCAGCACAGAGCTCTTCGGAAGATTCCCTAGAGGTGGATTGATTAAGATGAAGATGTTCGTGAGCCTTGGGCTTGACTGCGTGTTCTGTAGAAAGTTAGCAGCAGGGTTTGATCGAAGACGTTGTAGGCTTTGGGCACTTGGAAAGCTACTGTAGGCGGGCCCCAGATCACATTGACTCTTACTATTGTATTTACTATTAGCTTGTTAGAGCTCTAGAGCTCTAACCGTCCTACTATAGTTTTCGGCTTACAAAGGACGTTAAAAGGAATAAACAAACAAATAATCGGATTCACGGGCAGGGCGGGTACGACCGGTGGGGCCGTCACGTGCGTAGGCACGTAGGGTGCCACGTGGCAGGTCATGTGACTTCGCTTCGATCTACTAAGTTGCTGATTCTAGATTTGAGATCTAGGAGGAGATAATCGAAGATACTTTTTGGAAGTAACTATATTCAGTGAATTCTCTGAAGATCTCTAAGAGGTCTAGGAGCTTTGACTATTCAGTATAGGCTTTGGTAAAGCTATAGGCTTCGACGATTAAGTTTTCTAGCTTCAAGTATTACTATAGCGGCAGTATAAGTAGAAGTAGTAGAGTTAGGAACTCGGGTTTATTCGAAATCGAAGTCGGAGTCGGAGCCTAAACTAGCCGGGTAGTCAGTATAGCCTAATATAGGAACCCTTTTGCGTATAGCACTTTCAGGGGGTAGTAAAACTCTAGGTCGCTTCCGAATTAAGCTAAGGACGAAAAGATTTTCGATCTTAGAGGCGGAGGCTAAAGGGTCGCTAGAAAGGAAGTCGAATTGAGGTTGTATAACGTCCTTTGGAGACGCTGAAACTTGAATTAACAGCAGGTTAGAGCTAGAGCTCGGTGCCTGCTCTATTTCGTCTGAATCGACGAAGTGCCGGGGCGGTAGAGGGGGCAGGAGCTCTTAGGGAGGAGTCGACAGATCCGAACTCGGTTCTATCCTGCTCAACGCCTATATACGAATATATAAGAAATACGATAAATAAGACGAATAAGGCGTTCTTCGAAGATATCAGTAGTTTTTGGGCCGAAAGCAGAGGGTTGATTTTCGTCGAAAAAGGTTGCCTGTAGAATTTTAAAATAACTATACACTTATTGATTATATCCAAAGATTTCTTCCTGTGTTCAGAATTCTTCTTAATATATAAAGCTACTCTATAGTGCAATTTATATTGTGCTGGCAAAGCGAACTGCAAGGCTGACTGGGGGCCTGCAGCCGAAGTATGATGTGGCTTCTGATTTTGAGGCTGTGTCAGTCACATTCAGTCTTCGCGATTATGATCCAATTTTCATAGCTTATTCCGGCTCAGAATCACAGCAAATATATGCGGAAGGAGCTCTTGTAGATTATATTGAATGCGAAAATGCCACGAAAAGACTAGACAGTCTGGCAAAAGAGATTCAGCGCTCGTTGGGCGATCTCGGCAGCTTGGGGAAGCTCTCGAACGATGCAGAGGCGCTCAGAGTGATTTGCGTTCGCGGCAGCAAACTATCAGACGAGCTTATCGCACAACTTAGTGAGCTTCGAGTCGACGGAAAACGTCGAAGATGGAACAGCTTCAAGCAGGCTCTCAAAAGTGTTTGCAATAAGGACAAGATTGACGGCATTGCTGCTAAGTTGGCTTCCTGTAAGGAGGAGCTCAATCAACACCTCATTGACTCTATTAGGTGAGCTTTACGCTCTTGTCATCCTTTGGAAATGCTAAAACTTGAATAGACGTAAAGCAGATTCTTTATCTCTCCAACAGGAAGAAACAGTGAGAGCAATCAAGGAAAATTCCAGAACGACGATTGCTACGATCCTAGAGAATCGAGAAATATTGAAAAAGGACCTCCAAGGGCACAGGACGGACCTCATTCAACTGAGTAACGGCAAACAGACGCCCATGTATTCATCAGCTCTTGTGTCTCTTGGAGAGGCACAGGAAGTGGAGATTCACTTACTTCTGAACCTCCGATTTTCGAGTATGCGGGACCGCCAGGCAGAAATCCCCACTGCGCATCAAAAAACCTTCAGATGGATTTTCAAGGATCCTTCTAACGGAGAAGAGGTTCCTTGGAGCAGCTTCATTGATTTGGCTCAGGACTGGCTCAGGAATTTACTGGGTCAGTGGAAAGGCTGGTTCTGGGAAATCGACCTTGATGCGGTACATCTTCGAGAATCCGGAGACAAGCAAATATCTCCAAGTCTGGGCAGGAGAACATCACCTTGAGGGTCACGGATTCTTCTTCTGGAATGGGGGCAGCTTGGAACAACGTTCTCAATGCGGTCTGTTGCGGTCTCTACTACACCAAGCCTTGTACAAACGCCCAAGCCTTGTGCGCGACATATTCCCGGACGAGGTCGCTGAGAACAACGCTCTTCTCGCTCGAACGGAAGATGAAAGGTGGCACTGGACCTTGCCAACATTGAAACGAGCTTTTAAAAGATGGGTCAACCTGGCTCTGAATTCATCTTTGAATCTTTGCATATTTCTTGATGGTCTCGATGAATATGAACGGGACCATGAGATTATCGTGGATTTTCTCAAGGAAATATTATCTTCGCATCCATCTCGTATAAAGCTATGTATATCTAGCCGACCTTGGGTTGTATTTGATGAAGCTTTTAAGGGACTACCGAAACTTCGCCTGCAGGACCTGACTTACCGAGATATCGGAGCCTATGTTCACGACGAACTACGTAGCCACCAGCGCATGTTGCAGCTCGCCCAGGCAGAGCCAAACCATGCACACGAATTGGTGACCGAGATCGTTACAAAGGCCTCTAGTGTCTTCCTTTAAGTCATGCTCGTTATTAGGTCATTGTTAAGCGGACTGAGGAACCGCGACGATATTGCAGTCCTCCGGAAACGTCTCCGGCACCTTCCTCTGCGGATCTAAGCTCCCTTTACACTCACATGCTGAACCATGTCGATCCCTTATACAATGAACAGGCGTCTCAATCCTTTCAGATCTATGGTGCGCTTTCGAGTGAAAGCAACTCGAATGAAGTCACCGCTCTGGAATTGTCACTGGCCATCACAGCAACCCCGCATACTCCAACATCTGTAACTACACCAATGGCAGATGCGGAGGTCAAAGTCCTCTGCGAAAATCTTGATGTGCATTTGAAATCAAGGTGTGCCGGCTTACTTGAGATCCACCAGGGTGACACTCGGACTTGGGAGTCCCACAAGTATTTCGATCCTGTGAGACCGACTCACAAGGTCAACTATCTTCACAGAACCGTCAAGGACTTCCTCGCAACGGAGGATGTTCAAGAAAAGATTCTGAGTGACTGCGCTTCCGAGTTCAATCCTCACACTTATGTCATTCATTCTTGTGTCACAAGGCTTTACCGATCGGTTTTCATCACGCATCTTGGGAACATGTATCCGGCGAGCAATGAAGCGGTCTGGGCTATGATTGTTCGAGCGATGAAGTACGCAAAATACGCAGATTTCTCAGGCGATCGCTCTTATGTTGCTGCTTTGGCTGCGTTGGAACAGGCAGGTAAGCGTGCATGGAATTTTGGGCAAGACCCATGGAAGATGGGAAAGAACTGTCTCCCAGTCTTCCTGAACAATACCACTTTGGCCTGGACGAATTGCGATAAGACGGTGATGTGGACAAGGAATTTCGTTGGCGAGACAATCATACACAAGCTGTTTGCATACATCAGTTCGGAGGTACGAGAGAACAAGAAGCTGCTCAAGGATCAGGGGGCCATGCCTCTTTTATCTTACATCTTCCAGCAGCGTCAGCCGGGGGCTTTTAACCCGCCATCTCCCAAAATAGTGGGTCTGCTATTACAACGAGGAGCTGATCCTAATCAACAATGGCAAAGGAAAGATATATTGCATAAGTTGTCTAATATAATTTGGAAGTATGTGAGAGAAGTTGTTGAAGATTCGCATTCGCAAAGCAAGATGAAGTCAGAGCTTATCAAGTGGGGCCTTGCCGAGCTAGTCTGCCCGGAGCAACGTCAAGTTCTCTCAAGACTAGCCCAGGTTCTCAAGCTCTTTCTTGAATATGATGTAGATAAAGTCGGTGCGTCAGTTGATGACGTGGAACGACGAGCGGGCCACGTATGTCATAACACTATCGACGAAGCTTCTATTTTGAAAATCATCTCCAACGTATACGACAAGTACTTGCCCTCCATGTCAGTGGAGCTATCGCATGCACTCCGCCTGAGGATCTCTCAAGATCGGCGGCTAGATGCAAGAAACGGAATAAAGAGAAGACACGATAGAGATGACTCGTACGGTCCTCGAAAACATTTTCAGGGGCCAAACCATTGGGGACACCAGAGATAGCGGACAGCCTTGAGCAAGCTATGCTGTTCGGTTTGATAATGTCCCGACAGCTGGGGTCTACGAAGTGTAAGCTCTCACATTCTCTATTCCCCTCCCCTCTATCGATAAAGTCTTTTTTGACAGATTTGTAAAGCACTGTTGATTGCCGCAATGCAACTCGCTATTTGCAGTCCCTTCGCGACATGAGAGCTTAAGGGACAGTCGTAGTCGTTAACAGCGGCTAGCTCTGTCTGTTTGTTTGTTTGTTTATTCCTTTTAACGTCCTTTGTAAGTCGAAGACTATAGTAGAACGGTTAAGGCTCTAGAGCTCTAACAAGCTATTGTAAATACAAGATTGAGAGTCAATATAGTCTGGGGACTTCACAGGTTTTATCCGTGGCCACGTAGGCTGCCTTGCAATTAGTACACTTTGGAGCTAAGTATAGATATATTTTACTTGTAACTTTATAGTTAAAGTAATAATATTACTTAGTTGAGTAACTTTCAGTATAGAAAGTATATATAAGAGCTTTTCTATAGTAGCTTTCTAAGTGCCCAAAGTCTAGGTACTTAGTATACTATATAGTTGGAGTAGTAGTATAGAGCTTTTCAACTTATATATTTATTCTAGTTATATAGAGCTTATTCCGAATAATTCTATTAGTTTCCTGTTCTGTAGTAAAAGAAAGAGCTATTGAGCTAATTAGCTGATTTTGCTGGCGTTCTTTGGGCGTAAACTAATAAAATGTTCTAATTAAATTCAAGTTAGTATTAAACGTTTTAGTCTTATTTACGATTAGGACTATACTCTCAGAAGTATTAAAATCAACTGTTAAGATCTTATAGATAGTTACTTTGAACTAAAGCTCATTTTTATATAGTATTTGATTAAGTACTATATATTCCTAAATCGCTCCTTTTTCGATCAAGAAATCAGCTATATAGTTAGATATAGTTGTAATAACTAGATTCCTTTTCAGAGATCTAGTTATTAAAACAACTATAGAGTCTTTGATTTCTTTGTCTATAAAAGCTTTATTTAAAGTATTTCGGGCTACTAGGAAGGAGAACGAAGTTGCAGTTCTAGGGGTTTATATAACAATAATTTATTTGAACTAATTCATTCCGATTTGGGCAGTAAAGTAAGTTTAAGCTTTCTGCTAATAAGAGTCTATTCCTGGGGTATAATAGAAGTTCTAGAGCTTTAGTTTACAACGTTTACAAAGGACAGTATAGTTAAATTATTACTTAACGTCGAATTAGAGTAATTGGGAGCGTTTAAGTATATAGTTAAGTTTTTGTTTAACTAATCGGATTCAGGAGCAGAGCTAGTAGAGCCAGTAGAGCCGGAGGCGCGGGTAAGGCCGGCAGCACGTAAGGCGGCATATAAGAGGTTATATGACTTCGCTTCGAGTTGCCGAGTAGCTAATTCCAGATTTGAGATCTAAGAAAAGATAATTTTAGATATTTTTTAGAAGTAACTATATTCAGTGAATTCTCTAAAGACTTCGAGTAAATCTAGGAACTTTACTTATTCAGTATAAACTTTAGTGAAACTATAGACTTCGATAATTAAACTTCTAGTTTCGAATATCGCTATACTAGTAGTATAAGTAAAAGTGTCAGAGTTATAAACTCAGGTAAATTCGAATTCGAAATCGAAGTCAGAGTCAGAGTTTGAATTACTTTAGTAGTAGTTGTTTAAAGTGTCTAAGTAGTTAGGACAGCTTAATATAAATACTCGACTCTGTATAGGATTTTCAGAGAATATAATAATTCTAAGTTATTTCTGAATTAAACTAGTGACAAAAAGATTTTCGATCTCAAAAGTAGAAGCTAAAGAGTTGCTAGAAAGGAAGTTAAATTGAAGTTATATGTATTTTTAGAGATACTGAAATTCGAATTATAAGTAAGTTAAAGCTAGAACTAAATATTTACTCTATTGTAACAGTCCGCCGATAACTTACTTGTCGTAGTAGTAATCGGTTTACGTAAAGTTTCTGTTGCATAGCAAAGTAAGTCGGTTGATTACTTTTAATGATTACAAGAATAAAATAGTCTTAGTAAGTCAAAGTTGAAATCAAGTTCATTAATTAAGTTGAATACGAAGTTCCTATCTAGTAAAGAAATTATATCGTTTATATAGAATCTTCCTACTCTTTAAGTAATATAGATAGTACTAGTTATCTGTTTGTAAATCGGATAAACTAGATAGTTGGATAGTTTTAACTATCCCCTTTATCTATTACTTAATTCCCGACTTGTGATTTTACTATTACGTGACTTCGTTATATACTTTCATAATTCTCTGTAGCGATACTATATATTACCCGAGTTTCAAGCTATAAAGTTAGTATTTGTAACATTATCCTTTATATAGTTTAGTATAGTCTTTTAGTTTAAAAGTTATATCGAAAATATCGAACGTCAAGTATAACTTTCTTCTTCTTTTATTATACTACTTTTACGTAACTTTCTATATTTAAAGAAAAGATCAGAGTAAATTACTCTAGCTATTGAAATCGAATATTCCTCTGACGCTGAAGAAATATCTCTTTACTCTATTTATACTAAGTCTAAGAAGTAATATATCGTTACTGACTTAAGAACTTCTACTCGCTATTCTGAATATATTCGTCAAAGACAGAATAGTTATAACGTAATAGTTCGAATACTTTCACTTTCCAACTAAGTTTCTATCGAGAAACTCGAGTAGAAATTTGATGAAAACGAAGAAACAGCGATAGCAAAGATTTTACGTTTTCGCAAACAAAAAAAAGTATTTGTTGAAAAGTATAAGAAAATAATAGAGAAAAAGCTATATTCTTTTAATAAACTAGAAATAGCTGAAACGAAAGAAAAAAACGAGAAAGAAGCGGAAATAACTTATAAAGTAAAGTCGAAGTAGTTAGCTGTTACAAATAGTAGTTTAAATAGCAACTTTTCTTTCGACCTCAGTCTTTTACTAAGTTTTGACGACTTTGTCTAAAAGATTCTCAGTTTCGCTAATAGAACTCTTTAAATATCTAGTAGTAGTTGAAGTAAGTTCTAAATTCTTATATATTCTCTAAATATAAATAATTTAGTTATTTAATCAGATATTTAACTATATTTTTAACTTATCTATAGTCTAATATCTGTTCAACTTCGTACTCGGCGTCTAAGTTGACTAGTTCTATTTCAATTATTAATATAAATAGTATTTCTAATAATATTAGTTCGAAGAAAGAAATATGAAAAACTAGAAAGATATTCATTGTCTTTAGTAGAGTAAACTTATAATTTAAATGTCTTTTGAACTTTTTAATTTTGAATAATTCTAATTTCTTATAATTTAGTTTATTACTTAGTTGTTTAATTTTAATATTTTTTCTAAATAAATAAACTTTATCTTTTTCTTATAATATTAGTTTTTGACTACGTTTCGAATTATAATATAAAGTGTTTTTTTCTATAATAAACTGAAACTTATTATTTAGTTCTTTATATAAATTTTTGATTTCGTTTATTTGAATTTATACTAGTTAGTTATTAATATTTATTATTTAAATTTCGTAATAAATATTAATATTATAATTATAATTAATAAAGAATAGTAATATTTTCGTTATATTTATAATTATATTATTATAAGTAAATATAGTAAGTAAAAATAAAGTTATTTAATTGTTTTATTTATAGTTAATATAATAATATAAATATATTTCAATTATCTGATTTATTCTTTCTATTCTATTATTTGTTTATATATAGAAAATAGTCGATAGTTTTCTTTTAACTTTTAAGTAAATAGTTAAAATAGTCTAGAACTTAGATATAAAGAACTTATCTCGATCGGAGATAATTTCTTCTAGTATCTTATATTTTACTATAACTTCTTATAAGAAAACGAATATAAGTTCCTCAGTTATATTAGATTCTAAATATAGAATAACGATTATATATTTCGTAAACTGTTCGATAATAATTAAAATTGAGTTATATTCTACTCTTGTTATTAAATCTTTAGAAAGTAAAAGTTTTATAATAAAATTTTATTAGATTAATTTCTATAATTATTCTAGAATAAAAGTAATATTTATTTTTCTATAAAGTATATATTATATATTCTTATTCTAAATATAAATATTATATTCTTCTACTATTTATTTAACTAAAGTGTTAATCTTATTAATATAATAATATTATTTAATTTACTAAAAAGTTCTATTAATTCTTTGATATTTATAAACTAGTACTATATAATATTTGAAGATGAATTCCTTTGCGAATATATCTAAAACTTACAGTTTCTTATTAGTATAGTTTACGTATTCTAAGTTTTTCCTTTGAGTTTAGATAATTTTATTATTTTACAATCTTTTAGTTTTCGTGAAAGTAGCGATTTCTTTAGTATTAAAAATAAGATCTCTGTTCTTGTTTTCCCGAAATATAACTACTTTTTTATAGACTTTATCTTTTTCGTATTTAAATTATTTATTCAAAATATTAACTCTGAAGTTATTAATTCTTTTGATATATTTGATTATTAAATTAAACTAAGAGAATTCCTTTATTTATTATATTATTTGTTGATTATCTAAGATTTTCGTAGTTATAAAAGTACAGAGATTCGTATAGTCAATATATATAGTAATTAGAAACTTTGTATTTTGGAAGTATATTGTAATAGTTCCAATATTTCTTCCGGCGGGGAGTTGTATTAGAAGTGTTCTGTTTCGTTTATGTAGCAAAGTAATGTAGTAATCTCTTTTAATAATCTGTAAACAATGTCAAAGTGAATAAATCACGGAAGAAGTCAAGTATAATCAAAGTAAACTATTATAATTAATATTCAAGAATCAAGTTGAGTACGAAGTTCCTATCTAGTAAAGAAATTACATTACTTATATAGAACTTTCCTACTTCTAGATCTAGTTAGATCTAGATCTATTTAGATCTAAAGTCTAAACAGATCTAGATCTTCCCAGATCCTCTTTACATGATCTTATTATATGAGTTTCTGCTGTCACATAACCTCG